ATACACAAGGCAGCGTTGTCACGAATATTTGTGTCGTGTAGTAGGACGGAGCAGTATATTCGTATGGTGTTCTAATTAGAGTGATCATTTCGTGATTTCTCCCGTTCCAAGCAATTCACACGAAAGCGACATTTTTTTTCGGATTGCCATATCAACTACATTCGTTGCTAACATGTAGAAAATATAGGGTGTGTGTGTGTACCCTCTCCTTTCACGTCTGAGAGAGCAAAGAAACGCAGAATAGCCAGATGTATTTTATATTATAAATGTCACTAATTCGAGTATCATATCGACAACGAGAGTGTTAAAAATTAAAAAAGGCTTGTAAGACACACAAGAAACGACAGAATATATCTGGACGGCCCCTTCGAAGTACGTCATGCGAGGAAAACATCTCTTAAATTGGCCTTTACAAATACGTAATACATAAATCTGTATATAAACAATTGCTCTACTAAAAAAGATATAAGATACAACATTCGGTTTTAATGGGCATACAGAAAAAGACGTAGAAATACGTTGGAAGGTCATTCGTATAACAAAGCGCAAGTGTCATGCTGATGCGGGGGGGGGGGGGGGGGGGGGGGGGGGGGGGGGGGGGGTTTAATTTATATCATACTGAAACCGCGTAATGTTTCAAACTAAGCGTATGACTCGCATTATTTTAGCGATGAAGAGGTTTATCCTCAGACATCTAATGTGAAACGATAAAAATAGGCAGTGTCGATCTAAAATGCTGTACGATACGAGGAAGAAATTTGTGAACAATAACCATCGCGTTTACAGGTTTCGTGGTATCACGAGAAGAAAAAAACGATTAACGCGAGAGGAGAAGTGTACGATATTAAAATGTTGCGATGAACGAGATGAGAATTTTTGTATGGCGGAAAAAAAGCCGATCTATAAACACATCATTATGCATCGAACTATGGAGTCGTATTAAGTATTTGTTGGCACGATAGAGAACATTTTGTTGTCGAAGAAAGTCCATTCACAAAAGTCTAATACAGAAGGGAGAGAAGCGGACTCGTCGATCTAAAAGAGAGTAATATTTGTTGCCTCGCATATGTAGAAAAGAGGGAGGAGAAAACTGCAATGACCGAAAAATGTCGAGATGGATACGAGAGAAGAGATTTGTCTCGCATAAAGTGGTGTTGATGTACAAATCGCCATCACGTTATAAGTTATTGATGTTGTTCATGCAAAAAATTAAACGGATATTTCGATTGGCGAAGGAGACTAGTCTGTTGAGAAAGAGGTAATCGCCAAAACCTAACGTGGAAAAGCGCGAAGCAATCTGTCGATTTAATATGTCAGCGATGTACGAGAGAGGGAGATTGTGTTGGGTGCACAAATCGCCATCAGAAAATAAAATATACGACACAAAACGAAATGTTTATCACACAAAAGAAGCGACGATAACGCGAGAGGAGAAACTTACCGATCTAGATGCTGCGATGATGCGAGGAGAAGAAATTTTGACGTTGAAAAATATTATGATCTATAAATCGTCATCGCGATTCTGGAGGGCATGTAACAAATTCGCTGTGTGGTGCTGTATTCTTATTTTATATTCGTTTCACGTAGGATTTTGATTTCTAGTCGTTACAGGGTGTTGACTAAAGTAGATGCAAAGACCTTCACGTAACAAGGGTATCGATTAGGTAGATACATAAACAGACCGATTAACAATATTTTATTAATAGTGACAGTAGATGAGGAGAATAGCCACGACGCCATAGTAATGGGTATTGCTCCCTCTCACTGCTTATTGTTTGGGGTTTCAGCTCACAGGGACAGGTCGCATCCGTGAAATCGCTTCCCGATGACGACGCGGCGCTCTCACGGCAATCACGTCAGCGTCCTCGAAGTGGTCCCTCGACTCCCGGAACAACTTCTTGGCGCGGCGTACACTGGAGCGGTGGCTGCTTCCACGGTCTTTAGGTAAGACAGTTACCGGGCGGATACATGTAAAGTCACAGCAACAGCACCGAGACAAGAGAGAAAGAATTTGTTGTTAGCTTGATTCATATAGGACCATATAAATCTTCGATGTCAATTCTGCATCGAAAGCACAGAATGCAATCCTAAACAAAACTGAAACCAAACCTCGTTATGGAAGATTAACATCATAATGGTAGTGTTGAATTAAGGTAAGCATTAGGATTGTAAAATATTAAGAAAAGGGAACGTACGCGAACATTCGGCCGAGCGACATAGAATATATCGTGATAAAGAACGGAAAAGAGATCTGGAGCTCTTCGGCCGGGGATCCATAACAGCAAAACCTGAAAACTAGATCGACTTTTACTCATGAGAGCTGCAGGAGGGAGAGACGCTTGCATAGATATATAACATGTCGGCGTCCGGCTTACGTCTGGTCCTCTTTTCTCTAGCGACATACGCTTTGTCGGTGAT